GAGCGGAGAGGGTCTGCCCTGGCTGGTCCTCGCGTCCAGACGCTGTGCTGGCCCGGAGGCAGGGGCGGCCACGCCACTGCCCCCCTTTCCTTGGGTCTCCTACCTCCAGGGCCACACCCTCTGGTCTTGGTTCCACAGGCCTCAGAGGCTGAGGTAGTGCTGGAATGTGGGTCCTTGGAAATCTGTGAGTTTCTCCAGAAGTTTTTTCAGAAAATAACTTTTTTCTGGTTATAAAAATAACACAAGCCTTTTGTAGAAAAATGCAGAAAAGTATAAAAAATAAAATTTAAAAATCCCACCCCAGAGATAATCGTGTCTATTTCCTATCTCTATAGATGTTTGACAAAAATGCCTTTGTGTCGTTCTGTGGTGTTTACATTTTAAGTGTTTTCCCGTACCACTAAATATTGTTCCAAAACAATCGTATTTGATATTCCAAAATAAAACGTGGCCATAATTAATCTCCCTAACCCCACGTTGCTCAACACTTTATACACCCATATCTTCAGATGTTGGCCAAGTCCACCACAACTAATATAGGAGCTCTCCTTCTGATCCCTGTTCCAGTGTAATATTTCAGACTCTAGAATAATCTTCCTTAGATACCATTTTCAATTGTCAACAAGAATACAACAGTGGAATATCTCATGCAATTTACTGAATACTGTACTTAAATAATAGAATGGTTGTATGAGTACTCAAAGTATGGTTTCTACTGAATGTGTATCTCTTCCAAACTATCCTAAGTCAGGGACTGTACAAACCTAGGATGAGTGTTCCTGGATTCTTCTCTCTCCCTAACACCTATATATCCAAACATTCAGCAAGTCTTTTCAGCTCTCATTTCAAAATGTATCTGAATCCAAATACTTCTCACCACCATTACCCCAGTCCAAGCCGCCACCCTTTCTCTCTGGAAAGATTGCCCTATTCTCCCTGTTTCCTCTGTGGCAGCCCAATAAATGATTCTCCAACAGCAACCAGAGTGATCCTTGTAAAATGTAATTCAGATCATGCCACTCCAACGCTCAGAATAAAACCCCAACTCTTTGTCATGACCTGCCAGGCACAATAGGAACTGGTTCCCACCATACACTCGGACCTCTCTCTCCCTCCATCATTATCCTCCGGCCACACTGGCCTTCTTACCATTTTTGAACCTACCAAGCCTTTTCACCTCAGAACTTTTGCACTTGCCATTTGTTCTGCCTGGAATACTCTTCCCCAGGATATTCCCATGTCTGCACTTTATTCAGGTCTCTGCCAAAATGTCAACTCTTAAGAGAAGTCATTCATAACCACCACATCCTAAATGACGTTTCTCCCCTCCATCATTCTGTATGCCCATATTTTGCCTTATTTTACTTCACGGGGCCTGAAATTATACTTATTTGTTTGCTTTCCTCCCACTACAAAAAACACGAGCTGTGTAGGAACAGGGATCCTGTCCTGCTCACTGCTCTATCACCAGCAGTTGGAATGGTGCCTCACACATAGAGAACTGCAACACAACTGCATCAATCTTTAGCTGAAAGGAGCCTTCTGATTTACCTTCTATCTTCCTTACAACTGCCTTCTTGTGGGCTTCATTTCCATTGTCTGTCCCTCAACCAACCATCTCAAACATTCCAAAACTGCAGTTACCGTATGTGCTGAGGATTCCAGAATCTGAACTGTATTTCTAGCTCAGGCAGGTCTGTCTTCTGAACTTCAGAGGCATCACCCTTTGAGTATCCCACAGACACCTCCAATTCCAGGTCTGAACTGAACTCATTATTTTTCTCCACAGTTCTATATTTCCTCTATTCATCTTCAGTTCTGCAAGTTAGATACCTCTGAATTATCAGAGAGCTCTTCCTCTCCATATCTCTTCCCACAAAGCCAATCCTGACCATGCCTCCAATCTGTCCATTCCTCTCCCATCCCCAGCTTCACCGTCCTGGTTCAAACCACCAAAAGCTCTCACTTACTTGCATTACTAGGTGTAAGAACCTCTAAATGTATATTCACATCACAGGTGATCTTTCTACAATGGACACCTGATCCTCTCATGCCTGTTTAAAAACTTAATGGTTTCCCATCACCCTTAGCATAAGTCAAATCTGGGAATATAGTTAAGAAGGTCCTTCAAGACCCAACTCATTTCTTCTCCTTCCATTTCCCACCTCCTTCATCATTCAAATTCTATGCTCCAGCCACACCGAACCACTGGCAGTTCCTCAAATATGACCATTTCTTGCCTCTATACCTCTGTATGTGCTATGTTCTCTGTACCAAGTGCTCTTCTCCATTTCTGCCTTCTCCTGCCTTCATTCTTTCAGGGAAGAACTTGGCCTAAACATCACTCCCTTCAGGAAGCCTTTCCAGACTGACACCTCCAAGTCTGGGTTAAGGCCCTCTGACTTGCTCCCAGAGCACTCAGTACTTTCTTCATAGAAGCATTTGTACCTCTCTATTATAACTGCCTTTAACAAAGTAAGCCTAAAGACAGAAGCTGTCATTCAAATCGGTAGGCTTATCATCTTTCATAGCACATGCAAAAAACATATATATTTGTCAAATGAATAAGTGAACCTCAAATGGGGGTGTTAGTAATTGAATGTAATTTCCATGAATGCTCCCATTTAGTTATATACACTATTTTAGCTTCTCCATGTTGCTTTATCTCAATATTCATTTTCCCTGTGAAGCTTCCCATGCTTTCTCAAGGCTGTCCCTCCTGGTTTTACACTGAGTGGATACCCCTGGGGAAGCACCTGAGCCATACAGACCCCTCCGTGCTCAGGGCCTCAGAAAAGTGCTGCTCCCACTGGGCAGCCCAATCCCACACCAGCTACACACTTTCCTTTTTTTCTTTCAGGAACATAGGGACACTTGAATATGTGTTAGGGAACAATAAATATGAATAAATGAATTCTCTTAGGGGAAAGCTCAATGGATTGATGTAAAAAGAAAAAAAATCCAACAAACCTACCATCTGATTTGATGAAAATTCTTTTAATTCAGAGGTAAAGTTGAATATAGTGAGATTATCAGTTCACTCAGTTTATCTGCATTAACAAGGAATAATGTATAACTCACAGATTTCTATAGCCATGATATTGTACAAACTATTGACATTTGCTTCTAAATAAAAATTATTTTTCATTTTGAAATTCCAGTCCTATAAATATTTTTAATTTTCTTTTATTTTCCTTGTCCTATAAATTTGTCCTAAAGAATACTTTGCAGGTGAGCAAAGGTAAAGAATGTTCATTGCAGTATCTTTTTTAAGATAAGATAATCCAAATGTCCATTGATAGGAGACTGGCTAAATAAATTATGGCATATTAATACAATCAAATATTATGTAGCTACTAAAAAGAATGAAGAGACTTCTCTGGACTAATGCCAAAAGGTATCTAGGACATAAGGTGAAGTGGGAAACAAAACAAAAACAGATTATAAAGTGTAAAGAGTGATCACATTTCAGTTTTTTAAAATGTTCATTTACATGTAGAGAGAAAAAGGCCAACATTTATTGAACATTTACCTTTGCCAGACACTGTTTTAAGTGCTTAACATATATTAACTTATTTAATTCTCAAAACAGCCCTAGGAAGTAGGCATTATTATTATCCTCACTTTATAGGTGAGGTGAAAAAACAGGCGCAAAGAGGTTAAGTTCTTGTCCAAGGTTGCTACCAAGTGGCAGAGCCATAATTTGTTTCTCAGCAGACTAGCTCCAAAGAGTAGAATAATATAAATTGTTAATGGTGGTTGTACCTCAGGAGGTAGTATTAGATGGGACTTGCATTTTTTTTTTTAAATGTATCTGTAAGGTTTGACTTTGTAAAAATAAATAAATGTTACCTTTTTGGCATACACAAAAGATAAAAAGAAGCAAAAAGTAAAAACTGCTATCGTGTTTACTGACTGGGCATGGAATAAAGAAAGTGATTTCAGGCAAGAGTACTGTGGTATCTCTCATAGCATTCTCTTTTTGCCAGACCCACTGACTATTTTATTTTCTCTTCATAGCATGTCTCTAGAGGAGTCTGTAGGGATTCAATTAACAGTTAGGGAATTGGTGGCTCTTAGAGTTTGAAGCTTTATTGACTGTTGTGCTATAAGTTTCAGAGAAACAAACAACAGGAACTCAACCACATGGTTGAATTTCCACAGTTGACTGGAGGCAGAGGCTTTACTGTTCCTCTTTGATTCAGCCAGGGCCTCTGACAGAGGGGAAGTGGCTATACACATAAGTGCTTCTTTCTTATAAGAGTCAAAGCTGTGTGTGGGGTGGTGGTAATAAAAAAAGAGTCAAGGCTGTGGACAGAGCCTATCACAGATACTTCCACCCCACCAAAAGGACATTTGAAAGTAAGCCCAAGCTGGCTTCGAAGCCTTGAATGATTTTGTGTTGCTAAGACAATGACCAAAGATAAGGCAAATCAAGCTAGTACCGGATCCCACTCTGATTTTAAGGTAAGGTGTGCCTGACTCTGAGACACAGCATCTGGGGATGCTGTTTCCCTAGTGGACCAATAATGTGACTACCTTTTATTTTATTTTTTTAAATAGTACCTGTGATAGCAAAAAGTAAAAAAATAGTAAAAAGTATCTGTGATAGGCTCTTGTCCCTGATAAAATTAATACATGATTATAGAAAATAAAACTCAGTAATAACATTACCACTCTGAGATAACTATTAATGTAACAGTTTTGATATTTTGGTACATTTCCCTCTAGTCTTTTTAAAAAAAATATACAGTATGTTATATAAATATATACATATACATTTCAAAATGTGGGCCATACTATATAGGTTTATATCTTTTTTCCCCCATTAACATTATATTGTCAAACATTTTCTCTGACAAAACATTCTTTGAAAACTAATTTTTAGTGACAGAATAATACCTCATCATATGAATGTGACCATCTTTTTTTCATCATTTTTTAAAATTAGCTCTGGGTCTCTTTGCCAGATCTAGAGACAGGAGAACAAGTTAAAGTAAAGGTTCATTTCCGCCTTTCCCTGTTATCTGCAGGATAGTCTGCAGGGCACCACCAGGGGTCAGTGCAGAGCCATCTTCACAGGAGCTGTTACTGTGCATTCCTGCAACATGCCTTGATATGAGAAAATTGGTTATGCAAAAATCCATATTAATAAATTCTGCCTCTTAGATTAGAGGAGGCCTATTCACAGGAGTGGCCAAGTTCCCTTCAAGAGTAGGCTCCCTTAGTACAGATTTCCCAGATTAAAAATGCTCAGATTCCTCTAAATTAATTTATATTCAACATTTCTAAAATAGAGCTATTTTATAAACCAAGGTCTATCAATGCAAGATTTGGTATTAAAGCTGTTCTCAGCTGCTTTGTATGAGATCATTTATGCATTAAATACTTTGCCTCTTTTATAGGTTTGTTAGGAAAATCAAATAACATATGAAAGTATCTTATTAATTATGAAACAGCATATAAACTTTAAGTTGCCTTTGTCTTTTTTTAACGATGAGCTATTCAGATATTTGGATGAGTTATCACCTATAAACACTGAAGAGTCCCAAGTAGTACTGTGATTATAAAATGAGGTGTAAGGGTATATGCAGTGGTGTAATCGTGGATTATTTCATTGGTTTTCTTCCCTGCAGCTCTTGCTCTCCAGTGTTGAAGTCACTGTGGAACTAGTAATCTGTTTTTCCTAGAAGCTGAAGTTATCATTTGTAGTCAATTTGGTTTAGTTCTTTTCCATCCTGATTTACCTGAGGCTCCTTCAGGAAAATTACTCTGAACTCAGAACTGGCTTAAGCAACTTATAAGGAGGTAGATGACAGGGATCAAAAGCCACTCCATGCCTGACATGCTTGACAGGCTCTGGCACAGGGTGTTGGCACTCCTGACCTCTCTAAACCCAGAAGTAACTATTAGAACAAAAGCTACCAAGGCCCCTATCTCCCACCTGGCTAGGCTTCTGACCCAGCCCTTCCATCTTCCTTCTGTTCTGTTTCCTCTCTAGTTCCCAGTGCCCCACCACTTGGCATCAGGGATAAAAAGGAACTAGGGTTGGATGTTCTAAGAACCAGCTTGGTGTAGCCTTTCCTGAGGACAACCCAATCTGCTCATAAGTCCACTCTGACCAATCTCAGAACACACAGGTGCCCAGGCAAAGCAGGGCCTAGGGAGTCCCTTATCATTGACACTTGATTTCCTGCTGGGCTAGAGCCTTAAGATCTCTGGTAGAAGGGCACAGAGGCCACACAAAAAGAATAAAAGATGCAGGCACAGTAGCTCACACTGCCCTGGGGAAGCCCCAGTAGAGAGCAGTCCTGGGTCTTCCCTCTGAGGTCCTACATCTTAGTGCAGGATCTAACATAGGGCACCAGCTGAACAGCTTGTGCTCTAGATAAGTACAGTTCCTGGTACATAGTAGGTGTTCCAGAAATACTCATTACATGAATGAACAACAGGTTTAGGCCATAAGACCAGCATTAGGTCTAATGCTTGTTTACCACACAGTACCTGGCACAGCTACATTTCTAATGCCAATCAAAAAAACAAACAACAGTGCGATTGAAGTAGTAGAACTAAGTCTAGGGACTTGAAAGTTAATCCAGAGGATCCCAACCATTGGACACAACTCAGGAAAACTCAAGATCCATACAACAGCAATGCAGCAACCAAGATCAATCACTGTTATTATTGAAGAGCAGTTTCTAGTACATAGGGCCTAGGGGCACTTACATTGCCCACAAGGACCAACTACCTGAGATCAGAGTCTGACCAGCTAGGTGGCCCCGCCTTGCATCCAGGAGGGTGTCAGGAGACTCATCTAGAAGGGCACTGAGACACCAGCAGAGCTGGCAAAGAGGTCCTAGGGAAGTATGGGGTTCCCTTGGCCTCAAGGCCACAAGTCCTAGTGGTGGGCCTCCTGACCTGCTGGGTACCCGCCTCCTGCTTTACTCTCAGAGATCACTGCAGAAGCCTGTGTTCCAGAATGGGCTGCCACTTGCCTAGGAAGGAAGCCGGGGGCATGTACGACCCAGTTACTCAATGTTGTCATAGACGTGGATCACATCCTCATAGTTGCTGAGAACCTGGATGAGATGAGCAGCCTGCTCCAGGTCGGGGTCAGCCAGCCGCACCTTTGAGTTGGGGATGAACTCTAGTGTACAGGATACAGAACACAGGCCCAGGGAGTCCAGCTTCTTCCTCACTTGATGCAGTGAAGAAACATCACAAATAAACTAGGGATAAAGGAAAAGTCAGGAGCTGAGGAGCCAGGAGGTAACAAGACAAAGGCAGACAGAATTTGCAAAGTCCTAAATGTAAAAACTACTGTGATGTATCACTGGGTTTGAGCTCTTCACTGGCAGGCACATGTTTTCAATGATTCATGAAACGTTTTTTCTTGTTTTTTCTTTCTTGAACAGAAGTCTCCACTCTGCTTGTGCCGCAGGCTCAGCCCGGAGTGGCGTGGATCGCTCACCTAGCCCACAGCAACCTCAAACCCTGGCTCCTACTGCCTCACCCCCAAGTATTGGACTACGGCATGCCACCATGCCCGGCTAATTTTTGTATAACTAATTTAGTTGGTCCAATTAATGTCTTCCATAATTGTTAGTAGAGATCGGGGTCTCACTCTGCTCAGGCTGATTTCACAACTCCCTGAGCTGAGCGATCCGCGCCGCGCTCCGGCGGCCTCCTAGAGTGCTAGGATAACAGCGTGACACAGCGACCCAGGCTAAGATGTTCTGCAATCTTGCTCACAGTCCTCAGTAGAGTGGCCCTTATCCCAGTATTCACTTAACTAAAATGTCTTCCTGTGGCGATATGTGACCTTTGTTCACCCTCTACTCTGGGTTGCAGAGAACGAAGAAACCAAGAGAGGCATGCCTGAAGGCACCTATTAGGGCCCTCTTGGAAGCCCGCAAAAGCAAGGCTTCATACTTACTTTGAAAAATGTATTTCTCTTCATCTTCAGTTTCTTTGACATCTCGGCCTCTCTTCAATGCCAGCTCACAGGGCGACGCTCTATGTTCACAGTTTTCTTCCTCTGTTCTTCCAATCCAAACCATCAAAATGCACCCCCTTTTGTTGTCAAAAGAGCTGACGAGCTCTCCTTCAGTCCATCATTCCCTACATGGGAAGAAAATGGGCTGGATGAGTGAACTGCCTTAGACACCAGGCTCACCATAAAGCACAGCAGTCCTAATGCATGTGTCTTTCCACTCAGACCTGACAGACCACACCACAGAACACGGAAGTGGCTCCACTCCGTAAGGAGAATGACGAGCCTGTTCGCGTAGCGTAAGGGAACAGTCCAAGACCATGACCTCATCCTCTATTTTCCTGCCCCTGATTAGTTTGAGAATGACAAAAACTTTGCTTCCAATCATTGCCTGTGCATAAGACTCCAGTCCTGGTGCGAACATTTAAGACCTGTGGTATTGATGGAATACAGATCAGCATAATGGGAAAAAAGACCTCTCGCTACACCTGATGATCAACGTCTTTTGGGATCCTGCATAGTATAGAACACTTAGGGAGAATCATATTCACCCTAATATGGATTCTGCTACAGAGGAAGTATGCAAACCTAAAACCATGGCTGGGCATGATGGCTCCATGCCTATCATCCCAGCACTGTTGGAGGCCAAGGTAGGAGGATGCTTAAGGCCAAGAGTTCAAGACCAGCCTGGGCAACACGTGAGACCAGTGTCCTCACCTAAAAAAATAAATAATGAATAAAGATATACAACATTTATGTACCCCAAGATTTTTTTTAATGCAAAAAAAAAAAAGAACCCAAAAATTTTGAACCACGCACCAGGGACCATACGAGTACTTCCTAAAGGCTCTGTCCCTTCCACATCCACAACACGCCCCTAAGACACACCTTACCCACATTGTGTTCAGATTGCCCTAAGGCCGACGGACACTTGGAGCTACTGTTAGACAACGCCTCAATGAGCAGAGAAGAGCCACCAGGGCCTCGACCCTCATATAGCAAATGTATGTCCTTAGTTTTCTGTAATAAACAACACAAGTACACATTCATGTTTCCCAATTCCCTCCCACATGTCAGCCTGGAACCATACGTACCACAAAGTTGACTCTGTGAGATAGGCTCTCTAGGCTAGATCCTGAGCTCTTAAGGCTTTATTTTTGTCCCTGCCCTCTAAGAAGAGACCCTTGGGACCAACTTTTGAAGTAACTGGAAGTACTACCCCTACTTGGAAGGGAGTCTATCTGCCTAGTCCTTCCCAATCAATCAGTCATCTCCCAGGTTTGCTTCCTTCTCTGCCCCACAGAATCCAACATTCATCCCCCAGCCACTCCCACCAAGACTCATCCTCCTACACCCACATCCTGCAGGAAACTCTTGTGAAGTTTCAGTGCTCCTCACCTGGGTTGCTGAGTACTGCTGTGAAAAATCACACACCTGGGCCTTGTCATAAGAACTGCCCAAAAACGCGTGGTCTCAAAATCCAAACAATCCAGAACTCTAGTGACCACTTTCATTTGGACCTTCTCCATCCCTTCTCATCCCTTGTCCATATATCTAATCTTCACCACTCTCTCAAAGTACCCTGTCCTGCACCCTTCCAGGAACTCTCAACTAATAACTTCTCCCTTCCTCTTTCACAAAGGAAATAAAGGGCCACTAGATGGGGGGAAAATACTCTATCTCCACCACGTTATCTGCACCAGAGCCTACAGGAAGGCAGTAATATAATGGTGAGAGCACAGGCTCTCAAGTACATCTAGTTTCAAGTCTGTTATTTTCTGTGTGACCTGAGTCAAGTCACCTAATCTCTCTGTGCCTCAGTTGTTTAAGGTTGTTTTGAGGACTGTGAGATAACCCATACAGGGTTCTTATCAAAGTGCTTGGCCTGCAGTATGCATTCAATACCTATTAGCTATTAAGACTATTATTACTTCCTCAGATCCTTCCTACTTGTCCAGGAGGAAAAGATGTCCCCTCACCTGGCCCTACATCCCTGATCTCCCACTATCACAATCCCCCTCCCTCTCCCTTTCTACTGGCTTTTCTTCCTTAGGGCATAAACATCTGAAAAAGAAAAACAAACCCTTCCTCAACCTAACATCAGGGCCTCCCCAACACTGTACCCCTTTTTTTTACCTCATCTCCTCCCAACTTGGCTAAACAGTCCCAGGCTGTATGGTTCTGTACACTGTGCAGCCTATTCCCAATTACACTCCTACAACCAATGGCCAAGGACAGAGAGCCCTGAGAAACCTCTGGATTGAGGGTATCAACCACATTGCTACCCTTCTCTCTGAAAATTTAAGGAGTTGTTTGGTGGCCTTCCATACATGAACCCCATGCGGGCTGTGATCAGTAACAAGCATGTCAAACAGGACACACCTCCATTTTCAGCGCTGCCTCAATTGTTGACTTGGGCATGTGCTTGCTGCGACACACCTCTAAGATGTTGGCCAGGTTGCTGTTGAGCTCAGGGTTGGGGCCTCCCTCTGAGATAAAGAGAAAAGAGTGAGTGAAGACATCTCATTACAGCATGGGAGAAAAAAGGTTTCCAGTACCCTCTCCCTAAACTGAAACAGTGGCAAGTCACCACTTAGCCCTTGGTTAGTTTAGAACATTTTATTCAGTGTTTAAATGGGATATGGAGGGGAAGTATTTTGGAAAAAAAGTTTGTAATTCACTCTGTCTTTAGGGATAGTTATCCTGCTACGTTTCAGCGAACTATACTTTGTGTTAGATGAAGAGGTAAGGGACCTAGATGGTAACAACATCTACTGGACTTCTTACTACCCTTTGCTCTTACTCTGTTATTTTGTGCATAAGTACTGAAATGTTCACATGGCATTGTAATCATGCTCACTATCTCTGAGGGTAGAGGCTGTATCTCATCATCTTTGTATTACCAGTGCCTGGCACAAAATAAACACTTGATAGTATTGAACTTAATATCAAAAATTTAGAAGAAACAAGCACCACATGTACTCACCAGCAAATTGGTATTAACGGATCAACACCTCAGTGGACATATAGGAATAACATTTATCGGGTGTCGGGCAGGTGGGAGGGGGGAGGAGGGGATGGGTACATACAAACACAATGAGTGAGATGTGCAATGTTTGGGGGATGGTCATGCTTGAGGCTCTGTCTCGAGGGGGGAGGGAGGGCATGGGCAATATACGTAACCTTAACACTTGTACCCCCATAATACGCTAAAATAAAAAAAATTTTTAAAAGAAACATAAAAATTTAGAAGAAAAAGAACCTGACGGTAAGGCATACATTGACCAGGCATACATTGGAAAGGTAAATTAATATTAATTGAGTGCCTCTTATGTGTCATAAACTACCTCAAGGTGGGCATTATCCCTGTTTTACAGAAAAGGAAGCTGAAACTCATCACCACTTGCTCAAGGTCGTAAGTTAGTCAGTGACAGAAACCAAGTCTTCCAGACTCCAAAGTCCATACTTTTTACAGGACTTTTTCTCTACTACTACACATGACTGGTACTGAATAGAAAAAAAAGCAAGAAAAGACATGGTTGCAAACCAACCTGATAAGGAAATGTGCTCAAGAAACCCTAATGAGGCAAACTGAGGCCTAGGCAAGTAATAGCTTTATTCAGCCTATATCCTCCTAGAGGAAACTTCAGAGGGTTGTCTCTTCAGGAGAGACACACATCTGACCCGGCTCTGTGGATCTGTTTCTATTAAGTACCCAGCTACAGACTAGGATGAAATTGAATCATTGTTACCATCTTATTTTCTCAAGAGCAGCTCCCTGTCTGACAAGCTGGCAGACACTCAGTGTCTGGAAAGGTGAGTGGGGACATTCAATGTATGTAGGTGTTCTGAGGGTTTATGAAGTGGGCAACAGTGGGAACTGGGGAAGGAAAGAAAATAGCCCAGTTCTGGGAGGCAACCGAGGCCTTGGGCACAGAGAGGGCAGCGGCGGCCAGCGATGGGTGACCGTCAGGTTCTCACCTTTGACCGCCAGGCGGATGTTCAAACAGAGTTTGGAGAAGATGCGACTCCTTTCGGTGTCTTTGGGCCCCTTGATGTGCCTGACTTTGGACCACTTATTGTGCCCGGCTGGAGCCACCGCGGTGAGGTGCAGCGTCCTGTCAGGAGCTGAGCCGCAGCCCAGGGGATCGGGCTGGAAGGGCTGGGGGGCGCGTGGAGGAGCCGCCCGGACAGCGGGGCCTTGTGCCCACAAGCATCGGGCACCGGCCCTGCTCAGGCTGGCGGCGCCCCAAGCAGCAGCCATTGGCTCCGATCCTGGGCTGCACCGCTGGAACAAACTCGTCGGGACCCCGCAGCCGCCTCTGCCACTCACCAGAGACACAAAGGGGCAGGCCCTGCCGGAGGAGCAGCCCACCCGCGAATGACCCTTCACCGTCCCCACGACAGCCGGAAGTGGGGGCCCTCAATGGCGTAGCACACTTCCTTTGCCGGGTTCATTCCAAAAACATGTCCCCACAGCCCACAAAGTCCGTTCCGCAGCTGGATCGAACTCGCTCCTGTCCTGCCCTTGTGCCAAGCGCTACAGAGGAGGCGTGACCTGCTGTACTAGCCCTCCTTGCTAGTCCGACGCTTGCCTAGGGAGCGTCGGACTTTATTTCCCATCATGAGCTATTAATAGTAAGATACACCTGAGTTATGAAACTGATTTTTGCTTCCAAATTGCTGTCTAAATTTGAGCAGGTCCAGAATGATAAATGTTTTGTTGTTGTAAAGGAATATGTAGTTCAACTGCCTTGTGTTACAGATAAAGAAACAGCTGCCAAAGAAGTGATTTGCCCAGTCATTTAATCTCTCTGAACTTCTTCCCTATCTATAAACAAGGATGTTACTACTTGCTTTACCAACATAGGAAGATTGAAAACACAAAATGAGCCCTTGAAGCTTTCAAGCAATAAAGTCTAACATAAATAGCCACAAGTGATCATAGTGATTAATCCCCTAAATGCAAGACATAGCTATGGGACAGATTCAGATGAGTCACAGGCCACTGGGAGAGGGAGAATGACCAGGTGAACTTTTTGAAGCCAAATTCCCATCTTCGTTTTCCCTCTTCTCTCCTGAAAAAGAAAACCGAAGCCATTAGGAGAAGATGGAGAAGAAAGAAAGAAGTGGCAGCTGCTAAAAAACTTTGTAGTGGCTCCCATGCTGTTGAGATTAAGTCTAAAGGGCTTGGTCTGTTAGGCAGAGAAATAAGGCAAGTGTGAAGCTTAAACTTGTGCCCTCAGAAGTTAACTGGGTGGGTTCAAACCCTAGTTGTTCCATTTATCAGTGTAACCTTGGCCTTTACTTTCCTATATTTGTTTCCTCACCTGTAGAGTGGCCTTTGAGGATTAAGTGGGATAATGGATGCAAAGCACACAGGCATACATAGGTTTTATGTCTTTTGTTATTTAAGAACCTCCATAATCTCAGATCTACTCATTTTCCAGTCTCATGTACTGATGCTACACTCCTGTGGGAGAGAATTACTCACTGTACCCTGAGTACAACCTCTTTATCATCTTTTGCTTCTTGCTGTTTGGAGTGTCCTTCACTGTCTCATTGGTGAAATCTTTATCATGCTTCAAATGGAACCTTCTTACAGTCCTCCTTTTGAATGTTTAGCTGTATGTAATTAGAAGTTCATTTATGAATTTTTATTATTATCTATTACTTAGTGATGAACCCAGCACTCACCTCCTTGTACTATGCAGATTAGAAACACCAGATTGCTCCTACTATTTCTCTCAATTCCTGTATAAAGCACAAAACTGTGTCTTTTCTGGCCTGTTTCATATTACTTCATCTGGCTAATTTTTGTTTTTCCTTTAAGATTAAGCTCAGGCATCATTTCCCACCAGAGGGAAACATCTCCAAAGTCCCCATTTGAGCTCAGGTGCCCTTCATATAACCTTTCATATATGTTTGTACCTTAGCACTTACTTTTTTTTTTTTTGAGACAGCCAGTCTCCGCTTGTTGTTGCCCGAGGCTAGAGTGAGTGCCGTGGCATCAGGGCGCGGTCTGGGTCTCAGGCAATGGGCGCCACTGCGCCGTAGATTACAGCATGCGCCAACCATTGCCCGGCTCATCTTTTTCTATATATATTAGTTGGCCAATTAATTTCTTTCTATCTTATAGAGAGACGAGGGTCTCGCTCTTGCTCAGGCTGGGTTTCGAACTCCTGACCTCGGAGCAATCCCCCGCCTCGGCCTCCCAGAGAGCTAGGATTACAGGTGGATACCCCTCGCCCGGCCTTACCTTTTTTTTTTTTTTTTTTTTTATCAAAATGTTTGTCTCTGCCATGAACTGAAATTTTTCAGAGCAGAGCTGTACTTCCTGTGCCCAACACAGTTCTTGTTTGTTTTTCTAAATAACAGCTTCATTGAGATTTTATATGTCACACAGGTCACCAATTTAAAATATACAGTATTTTTTTTAGAATATTCACAGAGTTGTACAGCCATCACCACAATCGATTCTACATTTTCATCATCCCCAAAAGAAGCCCTGTAATATTAGCAGTCCCTTGTTTTTCTACTCATCTCCCCCAACTTGGCTAAACAGTCCCAGGCTGTAGGTTCTGTACACTGTGCAGCCTACTTCCATTACACTCCTACAAACCAATGCCAAGACAAGGCCCGAGGAAACCTCTGATTGAGGTATCAACCACATTGCTACCCTTCTCGTCTGAAAATTTAAGGAGTTGTTTTGGTGGCCTTCTATAATGAACCCCATGCGGGCCGCTTGACATAACAAGCATGTCAAACAGGACACCACCTACACATTTTCACGCTGCCATTGCTTTGACTTGGCGCATGTGCTGCTGCGGACCACACTCTAAGAATGTTTGGCCCAGGTTGCTGTTGAGCTCAGGGTTGGGGCCTCCTCTGAGATAAAGAAAAAGAGTGAGTGAAGACATCTCATTACAGCATGGAGAAAAAGAGTTTTCCAGTACCCTCCTCCCTACGAACTGAAACAGTGGCAAGTCACCACTTTGAATTTCTAGCCTTGGTTAGTTTTAGAACATTTTATTCAGTGTTAAAGGGATATGAGAGTGGAGAAGTATTTGGAAAAAAGTGTGTAATTCACTCATGTCCTTTCATGGCATATTATCCTGCTAGTTTCAAGCGAATTTCTGTTAATACTTTGTGTAGATGAAGAGGTAAGGGCCTAGATGGTACACACATCTATGACTTTCTACTACCCTGCTCTTACTCTGTTATTTTGTCATAAGTACTGAAATGTCACATGGCAGTTGTAAATCATCGCTCACTATCTCCTGATGGTAGAGCGCTGTATCTCATCATCTTTGTATTACCAGTGCTGGCACCAAAAATAAAGACATTTGATAGTAGTTGAACTTAATATCAAAAATTAAACCGGGCACTGGTGGCTCACGCCTGTAATCCTAGCTCTTGGGAGGCCGAGGCGGGCGGATTGCTCAAGGTCAGGAGTTCAGAACCGAGCCTAGCAAGATGCGAGACCCCGTCTCTACTATAAATACGAAAGATAATTAATGGCAACTATATATATATAATACAAAAAAATTAGCCGGCCTCAGTGGGCATGCCTTAGTCCAGCTACCGGGAGGCTGACAGAAGGATCCACTGAGCCCAGGAGTTGAGTTGCTTGAGCTAGGCTGACGCCGAGCACTCACGTAGCCTGCAACAAGTGAGACTCTGTCCTCAAAACCAAAAAAAAAAATTAGAAGAAACAAGCACACATGTACTCCAAACAGCAAATTGTATTAACGATCACACTCAGTGACATATAGGATACACATTTATCGGGTGTCGGCTAGGGGAGGGGGAGGAGGGATGGGTACATACAAACAAAATGAGTGAGATGTTCAATGTTTGGGGATGGTCATGCTTGAGGTCCTGTCTCGAGGGGGAGGAGAGGGCTGGCAATATACGTAACCTTAACACTTGTACCTCCATAATACGCTAATAAAAAAAAATTTTAAAAGAAACATAAAATTTAGAAGAAAAAGAACTGACGGTAAGGCATACATTGACCAGCATACATTGGAAAGGTAAATTAATATTAATTGAGTGCCTCTTACTGTGTCATAAACTACTCAAGGGGGCATTATCCCTGTTTACTACAGAAAGGAACTGAAACTCATCACCACTTGCTCAAGGTCGTAAGTTAGTCAGTGACAGAAACCAAGTCTTCCAGACTCCAAAGTCCATACTTTTACAGATTTTTCTCTACTACTACACATGACTGGTACTGAATAGAAAAAAAAAGCAAAAAGACATGGTTGCAAACAACCTGATAAGGAAATGTGCTCAAGAAACCTAATGAGGCAAACTGAGGCCTAGGCAGTATAGCTTTATTCAGCCTATATCCTCTAGAGAAACTTCAGAGGGTTGTCTCTTCAGGAGAGACACACATCGACCGGCTCTGTGGATCTGTTTCTATTAAGTAACCAGCTACAGACTAGGATGAAATTGAATCATGTTACCATCTTATTTTCTCAAGAGCAGCTCTGTCTGACAAGCTGGCAGACACTCAGTGTCTGGAAAGGTGAGTGGGGACATTCAATGTATGTAGGTGTTCTGAGGTTATGACGTGGCAACAGTGGGCAACTGGGGAAGAAAGAAAATAGCCAGTTCTGGAGGCAACGAGGCCTTGGCACGGAAGGGCAGCGCGGCCAGCGATGGGTGACGTCAGGTTTCTCACCTTGACCGCCAGGCGATGTCAATACAAGTTTTGGAGAAGATGCGACTCCTTTCGGTGTCGCCTCCTAGAGTGCTAGGATTACAGGCGTGAGCCACAGCACCCGGCCTAATGTTCTGAATCTTGCTCACAGTCCTCAGTAGAGTAGGCCCTATCCAGTATTCACTTAATAAATGTTTGTGCGATATGTGAACTCTTTGTCTCACCTCTACCCTAGGGTGCAGGAAGGAAGAAACCAAGAGAGGCATGCCTGAAGGCACCTATTAGGGCCCTCTTGGAAGCCCGCCAAAAGCAAAGGCTTCATACTTACTTTGAAAATGTTATTTTCTTCTTCATCTTCAGTTTCTTTGACATCCTCGGCTCCTGCTTCAATTGCCAGCTCCAGGGCACGCTCTAGGTTCACAGTTTTCTTCTCTTTGTCTTCCACTCCAACCACAATCACCCCCTTTTTGTCAAAGGAGTGACGAGCTCCTTCAGTCATCATTCCCCTGACAGGGAAGAAAATGGGCTGGAATGAGTGAATGCCTTAGACACTCAGGCTCCATAAAGCACAGCAGTCTAATGCTGTCTCTTTCCCACTCAGACTACAGACCACACACAGACACGGAGTGGCTCCACTCCGTAAGGAGAAGATGCAGCTGTTGCTAGGTAAGGGAACAGTCCAAGAATGGCCTCATCCTCTATTTTCTGCCCTGATTAGAGTTTGGAGAATGCAAAAACTTTGCTCATCATTGCCTGTGCCATTAAGACTCCAGTCCTGGTGGAACATTTTAAGACCTGGGTATTGTATGGATACAGATCAGATAATGGGACAAAGATCCTCTCCTACACCTGATGAACAAGTCTTTTGGATCCTGCATAGTATAGAACACTTTAAGGGGAAATCAATTCACTAATTGGATTCTGCTAAGGAGGAAGTGTGCTTAAAACCTAAAACATGGCTGGGCATGATGGCTCATGCCTATAATCACAGCACTTTGGGAGGCCAAGGAGGAGGATTGCTTAAGGCCAAGAGTTCAAGACCAGCCTGGGCAACACAGTGAGACCCAGTGTCTCACTAAAAATAAAGTAATAATAATAATGATAATACAACTATTATGTACCCCCTCCCAATTTTTTTTAATGCAAAAAAAAAAAAGACACCCCAAATTTGAACCACCACCAGGGATCAACAGTACTTGCCTAAAGGCTCTGTCCCCTTCCACAACCCCCCTAGAAACACACCTACCCATTTTTGTTCAGGATTTGTCTAATGTCCGACTGACACTTGGAGCTACTGTTAGACAACGCCTCAATGAGCAGAGAAGAGCCACCAGGGCCTCGACCCTCATATAGCAAATGTATGTCCTTAGTTTTCTGTAATAAACAACACAAGTACACATTCATGTTTCCCAATTCCCTCCCACATGTCAGCCTGGAACCACACGTACCACAAAGTTGACTCCGCGGGATAGGCTCTCTAGGCTAGACCCTGAGCTCTTAAGTCTTTATTTTTGTCCCTGCCCTCTAAGAAGAGACCCTTGGGACCAACTTTTGAAGTAACTGGAAGTACTACCCGTACTTGGAAGGGAGTCTATCTGCCTAGTCCTTCCCAATCAATCAGTCATCTCCCAGGTTTGCTTCCTTCTCTGCCCCACAGAATCCAACATTCATCCCCCAGCCACTCCCACCAAGACTCATCCTCCTACACCCACATCCTGCAGGAAACTCTTGTGAAGTTTCAGTGCTCCTCACCTGGGTTGCTGAGTACTGCTGTGAAAAATCACACACCTGGGCCTTGTCATAAGAACTGCCCAAAAACGCGTGGTCTCAAAATCCAAACAATCCAGAACTCTAGTGACCACTTTCATTTGGACCTTCTCCATCCCTTCTCATCCCTTGTCCATATATCTGATCTTCACCACTCTCTCAAAGTACCCTGTCCTGCACCCTTCCAGGAACTCTCAACTAATAACTTCTCCCTTCCTCTTTCACAAAGGAAATAAAGGGCCACTAGATGGGGGGAAAATACTCTATCTCCACCACGTTATCTGCACCAGAGCCTACAGGAAGGCAGTAATATAATGGTGAGAGCACAGGCTCTCAAGTACATCTAGTTTCAAGTCTGTTATTTTCTGTGTGACCTGAGTCAAGTCACCTAATCTCTCTGTGCCTCAGTTGTTTAAGGTTGTTTTGAGGACTGTGAGATAACCCATACAGGGTTCTTATCAAAGTGCTTGGCCTGCAGTATGCATTCAATACCTATTAGCTATTAAG